CTTCCTCCTCGTCCTCGGTCATCCTCCCCGTTCCTGGTTCATCCCTCCACGAGGGGGAAGCAGGGGGTCCGCAGGACGAGCGCCGCCAGCCTCGGAGAGTCTGGGAGTCTGCGCGCCCGGCGGCTCTTCCTTGGGCCTCTGCCTCCGGAGGCCACCCCGTCGGCCCCAGGACCGACACGATCACGAACGCAGGGGGTACAAAGTCCACTGGGCGCGAACGAATGGGGGGTCGATGAATGGGGGGAAGAAAGGCGCCCTTCTCGGACCCTGAAGGCCCCCCCTGGGGCCCGAGAGGGGTCCTGTAGGGGGCCCTATAGAGGGTTCCTTTCTGCAGCACTCGCTGCCCCCCCCATTTTATCGCCCCAGAATTGATCGCCGACCAGAGCCCAACAGCAGTTCTCATTCATTCTGATCAGGATTCGCTGTCGGTGTCGCCGCGGTCGTTGTTCATTTGAAGCACAGGCTCGCCTAACCAACAGCCGCCGCTGTCGGTTTTGGAGGCAACATCTGATGTTGGGCATCGTACCAAGTCTTCGTGGGCATCCAGAAGGATTCTGGATTCAAATCCGGCCCAAGGGAAGTGGTCGAAGCCCCCCCCCCCCAGGGCCGACGGCACGCGCAAGCGTGCAAAGCCGCCGGCGTTGTCACAGCCCCGGCGGCCCAGGCGGCGCCAGCTCCAGCGTGGGCCGCGGCTTGGCGGGGCACCGGAGGCCTTCTCCGGTGGACCTCGGAGTGGACGAGACACTGGTCCGACGAGTACGGCAGGTCGTACTGGCACAACGCCAGCACGGGCGAGTCGAGCTGGGAGGCGCCGCGCGTCGACGAGGACAGCGCCGTGCCTGGTGCTTCGCTTGTCCGTCCCGCCCCCTCGCGAGACTCCGGAGTGCGTTAATCCACGTGAGTTCTCCATTCGGTTGGTTTCCCAGTGCTTCTTGGCGCCCCATGGGCCTTTCGGGACCTGGTGGTGGCGGTGTAAGGCGGTTTTGGAAGAAGCGTGGCACATATTTGCCTCTCTCTCATGGGAACGCGCCTTCTCGCGCCGACCGTGCAGTCGTATAAGTAGGCTGTGTGGACGCACTTCGTGTGTCCCCTCGTAGTCGCTCTCGCCTCTTCCTCCGTCTCTTCTTGCTGCTGGTCTTCCTCCTTGGTGTTCAGGGCCATGGGTCAGTGAAGCCCGATTCCCGTGACGCCACGACCAGCACCGCGCACCTATTACCGCTCCCACCACCATTGCTACCTCGACCACGGTCGCCGCGACGACCACGACCAGGACCAAGAACCGCAGTCAACAGGACAAGTTTGCGGTTACATTACGTGTAGGTTAGATCGTATTATAATGAGCACCGTGCGCTCGCAGATATCACGCAGCGCGCATGCAGTATACAGCAGTTTCCTTTTACGTGCCCAAGGTGGCTGCCTCGCACGGTCACGCGCGCTGGCTGGGGTTAACACTTCGGGGTTGAGAAAGGGGGAGAAGGAATGGCGACGGTACGCCCTTGACCGCGTCCTCGAGCTGCGCTGGGCCAGGCCTGTGCGCCAGGCCGCGCAGGGGTCTGCAGGGCCCCGAGCTGCAAGCATGAGCCTCCCGGCGGGGCGACCGTCGGCGGGCGCCGCCGAGACGGCCAGAGCGCCGCCGCCGGCCGGCAAGCTCTGCGCGGCTCTCGCAGCACCGGCGGCGGCGGGGTCGCGGCGACGTCGGCCACTGTGACGGCGGCCGCGACGGCGACCCGGCGGCGGCCGCGGCGGCGGCCGCAGCCCGGCAGGGCAGGGGGGGGCAGAGGGGGAAGGCCGGGGCCCTCGTCGCCACCGCTGGATTCGCCTCGACACCCTGGCCAGGACGCATCCCAGGAGAGGTCTGGAGAACAGCGGTCTTGCAACCTTTCGGTGTCCTCGGGGGGAGGAGCGTGCGCGCGTCGGCTGTGTAGCTGTAGCTCATGCAAGGCAGCGAACGATTCTGTGATCCTCGAGCCTTCAGGCACGCAGTTCGCGGAGGGGGGCATGGCCGCATCCAAGGCTGCACAAGACGGGCAATGGAGGTCTTCGGGTACCATTACTTCTAGGGCATGCGGTGAGAGGTCGCACATACACCGACGTCTACGGTTAGATTGTGTAATGTGTCTCCGTGCTGTGACGATGTTCTTGACTCTGATCATGCAGTACGGACGTTGGTTCGCGATGGTGAGCTGATGTGCGGGAACGCTGTGTCTGTGTAACGAATGATGGCACTGGTGAGCTGTGATTGCGCCCTGGCTGCAACATACCCTACGGCACCTCCCATCTTCCCTTTCGCTTGGTAGGTCACATGCATGTTCCTGCATGGGCTTTTCTTGGGTCGATTAGACGTCCACAGCGTTTGCGTGAACTTTTGATCTCAGGAACTGTTCAGTTGCCTGTGGGAAACACCGCTACCGCGCATGTGCAACGGCGCAACAAGGGTTTGGCTGAGTGTAGGAACGGCGCAATTCGATTCCGACGAGTAGTCTGCATTGGGGCGGGTCGTGCTGTCCGCGCAGTACGGGGGAGAAGGAGGAGAGGGAGGAACATGTTGATGAGGAGAAACAGGTTTCATGAGGCCTTCTACGGCCTTCCTGGTGCCTCTTGGGAGCTTCCTGACAGTTTCTTGGGGGCTTTCGGGTCTCATGAGGCCCTTTGGGGCCATTTGCCTTGGGGTCCCCTCTGGGCCGCATCGGTGCCCTCTTGGAGCGGCCTACGGCTGTTTTGGGGCCCTCTTGAGCCCCATTGAACGATATTTGGGTCCTCGCGGGCGGCCTTCGGTCCTTCTCAGGGGCCTTTTGGGCTGTCTTGGAGCTATGCTGGCCTCTGGGAGGAGTCTTGAGCCTTCTTGGGCCTGTTGCGCAGTCATTTGGGGTTTTCTTGTTATGTCATGAGGCTGTCTTGGGAGCCCCTTCGGCCGTCTTGGGCCATCTTGGCGTCATCTTGGCTGCCTTGAACGCCGTCCTCGAGGCCATGAGGCTCGCAATAAGGCTTCAATACATATCGGGAGGCCTCCAAGGGGGCCCAAGAGGTCTCCAAGATGCCTTCCAGGGGAGCCCGAGGAGGCCAGCACCACTGATTTCTCCTAGGTTGTTGAAGGGTGCTGAGGTTCTGGCGTGCTTGGGTTTCCGACGGCCCAAGAAAGCCCAATAGGCTTTTGTGGGCCGACTTGTTGTTCTCTTGGGGCGTTCCAAGGCCGTCTTGGGTCTTCTGTGTGTGCCCCTTGGTCGATCTTTGGGTCCTCTTGAGCCGTGTTGGACATATCTTGGTCGGACGCCCGAACAGGCGGGAACCTCACAGTCTTTCAAACACCCAGGGCACATCAGTGGTGCTGGCCCCCTCGGGCTCTCCAGGGCGACCTCTTGGAGATCTCCCGAGCCGTTTTTCGGGGCCTCTTGGGCTGGCTTGAGGCCCGTTTCGGCTATCTTGAGCTGTCGTGAGTGTCTCTTAGGAGGCTCTTGAGCTGCCTGGGGCCCTTTTGCCAAGTGTTGTTGTCGTCGTCATTGTCTTGGCAGCCTTCTTGGAGGCCATCTTGGCCGTCTGGAGGCAGACCTGACCGCCAGACAGCACGTTCACACGGGCGGTTTTCGAATCTATCGCGCGGGGAGGGAAGGGAGGGACCCCAAACATTTACAGACATCCCAGTCAACACAACGGGTTCGAGAGTGTGCATGCACGGTTGCGGATTCTCAAGTTGCCAGGGTCGATTTTGCAGAACGCGTTTCCAATTTCAGGGATTGTGACGATTTCCAGCACTGAGTGGGACGAGGCAGTCGCTTCGCCTCCGCGAAGATACCGCGTCGCTCTCGAGCTGGGCCGCCCAGAGGTTGGCGGTGCTGGCGATGGTGCCCGCCTCTGTAAACGGTTCGTTCTCACCCAAGCCGTCGAGCGAGCCCATTCACTCATTCATTAAAGCCTCACGCCGTCGAGCGAGCCCGCTCGTGCGAGCCCAAAATTGCAGTAATACTATTCACCCGACCCTAAGGAAATCGGACTAGGCGTTGCCATTGTCGTGTTAGATCTCCCCCCCCCCCCGAGCGTCGGTTATCCTCAGCTGCGCCATCACCGTCCTCGGCATCAACTTGCATCTGGATTATGTACCTGGAGGGGCGTCTGGATCAGCGTCGGGTTGTTTATCTTTCGAGGCGACTCTGGCACAGCCAATGATGAATGCGTAGGAGAGGGAGGAGGAGCAGGAGGGAGGAGGATAGAGGGGGGGAGGAGGAGGAGGAGGAGGAGGAGGAGGAGGAGGAGGAGGAGGAGGAGGAGGAGGAGGAGGAGGAGACGGAGGAGGACTAGGGACTAGGGTGAATGGGACGCAGTGTCCCGCCGTCGGCCGCCACGACCTCGAGCTCGCTCGCGGCTCGACGTGGCGCGACCCTCCCTTGGCGTAGGCGGAATCTGGCTTCACGCCAGGCTCCGCCCACGCCGCCTTGTCGGACAGCTTCTAGTTTGCCACCTGCACGATGGCCTCGCTGGTCCGCGTCAGCGCGTCGGCCTCCATGCCGAAGACCTGGCCTCCCGCGGCCCGCCTCCAGGGTGGAGGCCCGCGCGAAGCCCGCGATCATGGGCTCAGCTCTCGCGCTCGTGCTGCGCGCCGCCTCCTTCGGAGATCACATCCGTGATGACCTCGACGAGGGAGGGTGAGTGCACCGCCGACGTGCAGTCCGCGCACCCATGCCACGAGCGCGCTGGCGCCCGATGTCCTGCCGGCACAGCTCTCGCGCGGAAGACTGCCGCCGGAGCCCACGGGGGCGCCTCGCGGACTGGCGAGTCCGCGCAGGCAGGCGTACCAGGCAGCAGCGGATTGCAAAAAACGAAGGATTGCAAAAAAACCAAGGATTGCAAAAAAACCCTGGATTGCAAAAACCAAGGGTTTTTTTGCAATCCTGGGTTTTTTTGCAATCCTTCGGTTTTTTTGCAATCCTTCGATCGGATGGCCGCGACAACCTCGGAGCAAGTCCTGTGATTGTCGGCCACGAGCTGCGCCAACCGCCGCTGCGTAGGGCTCACGTCGTCCACGCTCGTGCTGCCAAGATCAACGAGCTCCTTGCTGCAGCTGCCGTGGCCCTCCTCGAAGGGCGCGTCCGTGTCTCGAGAGTCCTGCACGAATTCCAAGCTCTGCGACTCGGCCTCCACGGCCTGCGAAGCGCGGGTCAAGCGGCCCCGACGCCGTACGACAGGCCTCGCCTGGCCCGCCGCTGCAGCAGACTCTACCAGCTGCGCGTGGCCCGCGGTTGTCCAGGCCACATCCCCTGCGAGAGAACTCTCCTGTATGGAGGCCGCCATCTCGCTCTCGGTGGTGCGCTTGTCGATGCAGTCCAGCATCTGATCGCACGGCACCGTCTCCAGCTGCACCCTCTCCACCTGGCGATTGGCGAGCCTCCAGCCCGCCGCCAAGCCGTCGACCAAGGCCTGGGCCTCCGCCGAAGGGCCACTCGTGTGCCACACGCCTGGCGCCAACCATACGGCAAGCGGGGCGCGCGGCGCCTCGTCGGCGAGCGTCAGTTCCTGCTCCGCCTGCTGCACGTCCCGCTCCGTGTGGACCATGCCCGGCCGCGGCCCAGCGGCTGCCCACGCGAAGCCGCCAGGGGGCACCCTCTCCGAGTGCCAGGAAGCGCTGCGCCTCCACCGCCACGCCCCAGGGGCGCGCTCGCCGACGAGGCGACTGGAGGGCGGGCCTCGACGCCCGCTTCGCGGTCCTGACGGCTGCCCGGGCCACCAGCAGCGGCATCTCGAAGTCCCGCCTCACGTGAGTCGCTGAGGGCGATGGCCTCGGAGGCGCGCGGCGAGCTGGGCAGCCATGAGCTCTGGCCGCCCCCCGTCGCCACGTCCGCCCGGGGCGCCATCGTCCGGAAATGGCAATGGCAGAAAGCGGGAAGACAAGGCTTGAGCCAAAATGGCCACGGAGGAGGAGGAGGTGGAGGAGGAGGAGGAGGAGGAGGGGGAGGAGGAGGTGGAGGATGAGGAGGATGAGGAGGAGGAGCAGGGGGAGGAGGAGGAAGAACAGAGATGCAGGAACGGAAGGAGGAGGAGGAGGAGAAGGAGGAGGAGGAGGAGGGGGAGGAGGAGGAGGAGGAGGAGGACGATTAGAGGACGATTAACAACCAGGCTGCAAATCTCACAGATGAGCAGCTGGCGATGGGACAGAGAGCTTCCCCTGTCGGCGCTCTGTGCGCCTAGAAGGACTTACGTGCACATTGACACGGCCCTTCACCATGGCGCAAGGAAACGGGGGTCTTCAGCCCGCCGCAGCCAGCTCTCTGGGCAAGCTCGCTTGCCACCTACCTACTGTTTTTCGAGCTGCGTCCGCCCCGTTGGGCCCCAGATCACGACAGAATCGTGCCGCCCCATGCCACCCGAGCGGGCGCCACTCCCCTCGGGCGACTCCGCACCCCCACGCACTCCAGGGCGGGGCACCCTGGCCGTGGGAGGGATGGGTGCGGGGTCCACCAATGAGCCCCTCGAAGGGGACCCGCTCCCCCGCCCAGGCGCACGCGGTGTACGTGCCAGAGTGAGCTGGCGACGAGATGCATTCTTCTCTCCCCCTGGCCCCTACGGACTAGCAGGGGTGACGATCGTGCTGCTACCCGCCTGGATTCCTCCTGGCCCCTACGGGCAAACAGGAGTGGCACAGGTACCAGGAGGAGGAGGAGGAGGAGGAGGAGGAGGAGGAGGAGGAGGAGGAGGAGGAGGAGGAGGAGGAGGGGGAGGAGGGGGAGGAGGAGGGGGAGCGAGCAGGACGGGCCAGGACGGGACCCCCACAGCCTTCCCCAGACAGCAGATGATGACGTGATTTGTTTACACGGCGGGATCCCCCGCAAGTCCCACGCTCTTACTCCCGGCCCGGCTCTGCCTCCCGAGCCGTTCTGTGGCGGTTTCGACGGCTGTAGAGCGGTCCCCGAGCGGCCAGAGATCTTCAAATATTCACTGCCCCAATTTTCCACCGCCACCACCAAAAGTAGGAGGGGAATGTGGTCATCCTCCTCCTCTTCCTCCTCCCCATCCTCAACCTCATCCCCCCCTCCAACTTCTGGTGGTGGTGGAAAACCAGCCCATCATTTTCTCAAGATGTTGGAATTCTGGGTCTGGGGTTCGGCGAATCGACTCCTGGACCTCTGCCTGGGCTTTCTGTGGCCAGAAGACGTCGAGGGGGAATTCCCGCCGTGGTCACGAGAAGGCCTGGGGAGGCTCCCAGACAAGGGCGACGCAGCGCTCGAAAGCATCGTGATCCTCGAGTCCTCTAGCCCTCGAGTTCTCCATCCTTCGAGTCATTGATGTCCCCCTGATGACCGCGCGTCGCGCGGCGCGAAGTCTGGGCCGGAGCGACCTGCCCTCTCGAGGCTGGAGGCGCGAGGGCGCGAGTCTACCCGCGCGCAAGGTGCCCCCGTCATGGCCCAACGGGTGCCAGGAACGCCCGACGAGAGCCTCCCTGGGGTTCCCTGGGGTTCTCGGGCATCCCCCCTGAGGCTGCCCTGGGTCCTCCTCCTGGATGCCCTGCGCGACTTCCTGGAGCCTTCTTCAGCGCCTCCTGCAGCACCCACCAGGAAGTACGCTCCCGTCTGGTGACCCTTTCGGGATGATGTCCATCCTCAGTCGATCTTGCGATGTTGGCTTGGACTGCGCTAGAATCTGAGCGCGCGCGACGTGCCCGCGTGGTTCCAGTTTGTATACACACATATATACGTAGAATCTAAACATGTGTGTATGCACAATGTGTGCGTTTTCATATGAGACGAAGCTCATCCAGAGATCTTCTGGGACATGTGGTGCAAATCATGGACGCTCCAGCGATAGCCCCGGGCAGCGGGCGGCTGCCCTTCCCCAGGCTGGCGGAGCCAGCCCGCGAGAAGACTCAAATACTTAGCGTGAGTCGCGCACCGTGTGGTGCCATGCGTGACGAGGCTTGAGGATCGAGGCTTATGGCGTTCTGCTTCAAGGGATCACCGAGGATCGAGGATCGAGGCTTATGGCTTTCTGCTTCAAGGGATCATCGAGGATCGAGGATCGAGGCTTATGGCTTTCTGCTTCGAGGGAGGGTCGAGGGCCTGAGCATCGAGGAGGGAAGGTCCGGGAGCGAGGCGCCCGGGCGCCTGGCAGGACGCCGACCAGCGGGCGCAGGCCGCGGCGCAGCGGGCGTGCGAGCGGGCGCGGGCGGCGACGGCCGGGGCCCGCGAGGCGCCCGGGCGCGGCGCGGCGCAGCGGGGCTTCCGCCTCGCCTTGGGGGACGCGGGTCCCGTGGGAAGCGGGTCCTGAGGGAAGGGGCCCCTCGTCCCGCCTCCTCCTCCAGTCTTCCTCCCTCCTCCCTCCCTCCCTCCTTCCTCCTCGTCTGCCATGCCCCCCTCCACGTTGCCCCCGTGTCCTCCACTCCTCCTCCTCCTCCTCCTCCTCCTCCTCCTCCTCCTCCTCCTCCTCCTTCTCCTCCTCCTCACTATAGAACGATTCTCGCCCACCGGCACCGGCACCGGCCCCGGCCCCGGCACCGGCACCGGCACCGGCACCGGCACCAGCACCGGCACCGGCACCGGCGCCGGCACCGGCACCGGCACCGGCACCGGCACCGGCACCGGCACCGGCACCGGCACCGGCACCGGCACCGGCTGAGGCACCGGCACCGGCACCGGCACCGGCACCGGCACCGGCACTGGCACCGGCACCGGCACCGGCACCGGCACCGGCACCGTCACCGGCACCGGCACCGGCACCGGCACCGGCGCTTGCGCCGGCACTGGCACGGGCACCGGCACGGGCACGGGCACCAGCGCCGTCGGCGTCGCCGGCGCCAGCACCGGCACTGGCACCCGCACCCGCAACCGCACTGGCACCAGCACCAGCACTGGCACCGGCACCGGCACCGGCACCGGCGCCGGCGCCAGCACTGGCACCGGATGACAAACATCATTGACATTGAACATTATGACATTTCCCAAACAGTGCTTGCACTTAGGGGGCCTTCTCTCTTTCCTAGTTGCTGGGTCTGAGGGGCGGTCTGGCGGCTCTCTCCTCGCCGTTGCCGCCCTGTCGCCGCCCGTCGTCTGGGCTTGAGGGGCGGTCTGGTTTTCCCGTCCTTGCCGTCGCCCCCCCTTGCTGCGTCGTCGCCGCCCGTCGTCTTGGCCTGAGGGTCGGTCTGGCGGTTCCTTGCTCGCCGTCACCGTCCCGTCGCCGCCTCCTCGTCGCTGCCCCTTGTGGGCCCCCCCAGCGGTTGCAATCCAATCGGTTGCAAGCCAATCAAGTGCAAACCCAGTGGAATCGATTGCAGTCCAATCAATGGTAAAATTATGCAAACGGAGTTCCCCACATAAAAATTATTAAAAGTTTCGTGGGACCCATGGGGCACGACAACATCAACACAAAGGAGAAGCTCATCGAGCGAGTAAGTACGCACGAAAGGGCAAACGAAAGAAAGGAGGAGGGAGGACAGGTGCTCAGGAAACGAAGCCTTGTAAATAGTACGGGTTCTTGATACCCTCTTCGCTCTGGCGGGGCCCCGCTTGAAGGGGGGAGGCCTACGAAACCTGGTAAAGAGTAATGGTGTCCGCGACCCTCCTCGTTCAAGCGAGTCCTCCTCCTCCTCCTCCTCCTCGTCGTCCTGCTCCTCCTCCTCCTCCTCATCCTCGGCATCATCATCATCATCATCAGCATCAGCATCATCATCATCACCAGCATCATCGTCGTCATCATCAGCATCATCAGCAGCATCGTCGTCACCCCGTCGTGGTCATCATCAGCATCATCGTCATCATCATCAGTACCAACATCATCAACATCATCATCATCATCAACATCGTTAGCATCATAAGGCATCAGCATAACCATCATCATCTTCATCATCATCATCAGCATCATCATCATCATCGCCAGCGTCATCGTCATCATCATCGCTGTCGCCACCATCGTCATCATCATCATCATCAGCATCGCCATCATCATCACCATCACCGTCCTTGGCATCGTCATCGTCCGCATCATCGTGGACGTCATGATCATCATCATCATCGTCGTCATCATCATCAACAGCACCAGCAACGTCAGCATCAGCAGCAGCATCGTCATCATCACCAGCATATGCATCATCCTCATCGTCGTCGCCATCGTTGTCATCATCGTCATCGTCATCATCATCATCGTCATCATCATCAGCATCATCATCATAATCACCGTTATCGCCATCGTCATCGTCCATCACCATTATCGCCACCGGCATCGTCATCGTGAACAACAGAATAACCATCGCCATCACCGTTATCATGATGAAGCCTTCCTCATCGCAGAACTCCCCCTCCTCCTCACCCTCCTCAGTGGGAGGAGTAGGACGTGAGATGGATAGGTAATGTTTTCCCCTCCTCCTCACCCATGTCAGTGGGGGGGGCACGAAACCATTTAAATAGTATGGGTTTCCGATACCCTCCTCGCTCAGACGGGGCCTCCCTGGAGAGGTGGTAGGGGCACGAAACCATGTAAATAGCATGGGTTTCCGATACCCTCCTCGCTCAGGCGGGGCCTCCCTGGAGGGGTGGGAGGGGCACGAAACCATGTAAATAGCATGGGTTTCCGATACCCTCCTCGCTCAGGCGGGGCCTCCTTGGAGAGGTGGGAAGGGCACGAAACCATGTAAATAGTATGGGTTTCCGTTACCCTCCTCGCTCAGGCGGGGCCTCCCTGGAGGGATGGAAAGGGCATGAAACCATGTAAATAGTACGGGTTCCCGATACCCTCCTCGCTCAGGCGGGGCCTCCCTGGAGGGGAGGGAGGGGCACGAAACCATGTAAATAGTATGGGTTTCCGATACCCTCCTCGCTCAGACGGGGCCTCCTTGGAGGGGTGGGAGGGGCACAAAACCAGGTAAATAGTATGGGTTTCCGATACCCTCCTCGCTCAGGCGGGGCCTCCCTGGAGGGGTGGGATGCCCTCCTCGCTCAGGCGGGGCCTCCCTGGAGAGGTGGGAAGGGCACGAAACCGTGTAAATAGTATGGGTTTCCGTTACCCTCCTCGCTCAGGCGGGGCCTCTCTGGAGGGGCGGGAGGGGCACTGGGAGGCGGGAGGCGGGAAGGAGAAGGAGAGGATGTTTTGGGAGCACCGGCCGCAGCACCAGCACCGGCACCGGCACCGGCCCCGGCACTGGCACCAGCACCGGCTACCGGCCACCGGCACCGGCCACCGGCACCAGCACCGGTAGCGGCACCGGCACCGGCACCGGCACCGGCACTGGCACCGGCACCGGCACCGGCACCGGCACCGGCACCGGCACCGGCACCGGCACCGGCACCGGCACCGGCACCGGCACCGGCACCGGCACCGGCACCGCGCCGGCACCGGCACCGGCACCGGCACCGGCACCGGCACCGGGGCAAGAATCGTTCATGCCTTCTCCTCCTCCTCCTCCTCGCTCCCTCCAGCCCCTTGTCCCCATTCCTCCTCCTCCACCTCCTTGTTGGCGCCCGCGTGGGGTGTCCGGCGAGGGTGGTGAGTGAAGGAAGGAAGCTCGGGCCCTGAGTATTGTTTCGTTGTAGGGCTCTCGGGGACACGGACCCCTGGACTGCCAGTAAACGTAGAGGCTGGGAGAAGGCCTTGGGACCTGTTCCCCCCATGCTTCAGGAGGGGAAAAAACACACAGACACAATTAATCCTCGATTCCCCAGAAAATATGGGGAAATATGGGAAGTGGGGGGGAATACAGAAACCCAGAAAATATGGGAAAATATGGGGAATATTTTTATTTGTGTGTATTTATTTGTGTGTCCTGGGGCCCCTTCAATGCTAACCTCCACCCCTCGCAGGAGCATGTTTTTTGGCTTCGCGCGGATTCCTTGGATCAGCGCTGTGCCCCTCTGGCAGCGCCTCCGGCGCCGCTCCCGGCGCGCCCCGCGCGCCAGGGACGGGGGCCCAGCGTCGATCCGAGAAATCCGCGCGGACTTGTGGCAGTTTAGGTTTCCTCCTCCTCCTCCTCCTCCTCCTCCTCCTCCTCCTCCTCCTCCTCCTCCTCCTCCCCCTCCCCCTCCCCCTCCTCCTCCTCCCCCTCCTCCTCCTGATGTTGCTTGTGGCTCTCACTCCCATCAGAAGCCTGGCGACGGCTGGCAAGCCCGTGGCTGCCAAAGCTGAGCTCCAGGAACTTGCTTTGCCTTCCAGGAAGCAGCCCGTTTACTATTCAGTGCGTTGAGTTTGGTTATGGGGACCTGTCTTTTCTGCCGGGAAAACCGTTTTGGCAGCCGCGGATTTGCCAGCCCTCGCCCAGCTTCCAATCCTGGGTCGTCTCCCCTGGACGTCCAGCACGTATCGAAATCTTTCGGCGCAGAGGTCCTGTCGCTGTCTTCGGCGTGCAGGGTCCCTCGCCATCGGCCCCGGGCCCGGCAAAAGAGCGGCTCCTCTGTACAAAACTGCGAACGCCATGAACATATACTTACCTCGGGCGTGTCCCTGTACAGAGGGAATATTCAAAAGAAGTGGAACAAATAGTCGAGGGACAATTTTTTGAATATTTTTTGACCATCTTTCGGTATGTGTTGATCATGGGTCATTTTTCGCCCAAAATCCGGCTATAAGGTGAGATGCCCGACCTAAACGTAGACCTTTCGGCGCACTCCGCGCGGATCTCTTGGATCCGCGCTGGGCCTCCCCCCCGGCGGCTCCTCCGGCGCCGCCCCTGGCGCGCTCTGCGCGCCGGGGAGGGGGATCCAGCGCAGATCCAAGCCAGGGCTCGTTTCGATTCCTCCAATTCGACTTGATTTGAATTCGATGGATTCCGATTCCGAATCGATTCGATTCGATTTGATTTCGATGGGTTCCGATTCCGAGTCGATTCGACTTCGCATTCCGATTTCTGTTAAGGGCTGGGACCTACGGGGACCCCGCCTTGGAGTTATCGGAGTCGAAGTCTTTCAGCGCAGAGGTCTGTCGCTGCTGTCGGAACACAGTGTTGGCCCCTGCCAAGAAACGCCCTGCTCGCCTCCAGGGTGCCCTGGGTTTCTTGGGTTCCTGTGGTTTTGCGACGGAGCGCGTGACGTCCCCACACCAAACATCGATTGGCGTCCTGGGCTCTCAGCGTTGGGTTTCTTGTGGAAGGTTTCTTGTGGACTGTCCTCCGCTGTGGACAGGATCCCTCACACGGCCTCCGGCCCGGCCAGAGCGGCGTTGATGCAACATTGGCCCCAGGTAAGGGGTGGGACTCCCTCAGTGGGCCT